GTGTTTGTGAATTCAGGGGATTTTCCGGGGGTGGAGTTGTTGGATGGCGATTCCTCTTACAGTGCTGCCTCCAAACAGAAGTGAGATTTTTCTCGTTTTCCGGCCAGTCTGTTGGCCACATTTTTAGGATGACAAGGAGGACGCCCGCCCCCTTATCTTTGGTTCTCCTAACAGGAAGGTGTCCTCTTCCAAAGTATTGATGAATATATAGGTTGTAAGCGCCGGGGGAAAACTCCAGTGTCTCTCACATTTGCCCCGAGGTGGGTAAACGAATGTCATGTTTACCCTTCCAGGAGCTCAGCACTTCGGATCCTTTTCCCTTTGGCTTGGCGGTGAGTGGCACCCGCCTGCTTACTTGAGTACTTTCTCCTGGCAGTGGGGCTCCATCAAGGACATCGCTGCTCGGTTTCTGCCCCATACTCTGGCCGTCTGCAGTGACTGAGGTTGTGCTTCTCTCCTGCCCAGCTGCTCCTCAAGCGGCAGAGCAAATAATTCCAGGATTTCCCCGTGTCCCAGCAGTACTTCATAATGCTACCATGGCTGCAAAGGACCACCCACAGCTGCTCCGGAGAACTTGCTCTCCGTTCCTAGGTCTTTCAGGAAAGCAGCAACCTGTGTTCACTCTACAGCAAGGACCGGTGGAGCTGACAGCAGTATGATTACCATCCAAATGCTTCTAATCACTTTTAGAGCTGTCAGCATTACATGCATTAAGGCCAACTGGGATGAAGTTTAAAAAAAAATGGAGGGATTGAGGAGATTGGAGTGTGTTTGAAGTTTCTTATTTCTTCAACAGAGAATGATCTGCCTAGTTGGTGGCGCATAGAATTTGGTTGTTTTCTTGGATCCCAACTGAGCACGTCATCAGAGAAAGGAGGACTGAGGATGATTAAAGGGACCATTTCTTGGGGTTTCTTTTCTGTTCCTTTCTTCTCCCACTTCTGGACGCCTTCCTCATCATTTGGGCTGTCCATCCAGCCATCTGAATTTACTTATTCCAGGTTTCTCAAGGTGTCTACCTCCCTGTATTTTTTCCATTTTCCTACATTGATGACTCAGGAATTAAGAATAGCGTTTTTGTCAAACTGTGAGTGCGGTCATCGGTGTCCTGGATTGAAGCCAGGTGGCTCTCTCTGAAATGGAGCCTATTTCGGATCATTCTTTCCCTTCCCTCAGTCTTGCCATTTGTGAAATAAGAAAATTGGTTCAGATCATTCCTAAGATCTCTTCCAAGTCTAAAATTTTATAGTTCTCAAATTACTGTCTTCTTCCCTCAATGTTTTACTTGAACATTTCATACTGTAATCCTAATTGTCTCTTTCCCTGATGACTTTGCTGACAATTTAACTTGGAGTAAACAGTCTTTCTGCTAGTCAGCTGTACTCATATCTACCACAGAAATGTCATGTCATACATGGAAGGGCTTTCTTCCAAAGCTAGGCATATTAATAGTTTGTAGCTTTCAAATTCTAAATAGAAAATCCTAAATCATAAAAGTAACTGATAGAAACAGTGGCAGTGGGGCCTACATTGGTTTGAATGCCAACCTTCTTCAGTTCTCAATTCTGTTTGCACATGAAAATCACCTGACATTTGTTTAAACACTTTATGGAAAATTTGAAACATTTTCCATGTTTCGAAGTTTAGGAAGAACAATGTAATGAACTCCTAAATACCTGTCACCCAGTTTAAACAATGATCACATCATGAATGAATTTATATAACCTATACCCATTCACTCTCCCCACCAATTATTTTGAAGCAAATTCCAGACATGTCATATGTTATTTTATCTATTTTAGGACAGATCTCTAAAAATGAGGGGTTTTTTTTCTTTGTTTAACATTATTATATGGGAAGCTTAAAAGAGATTCCCAGGCCCTATATTTGAATCAGAATCTGAGAATTATTCTTAGACATACGTAGACATTTTGTAATTCTAATGCAGCTTGTCAGACAAGAGTGCATTGCTTTAAGAATATGGAGACCAGGTTTTCTCTTAAGCCACTTATATAATGTGCAAGTGCCTTCATTTCTCTTTCTCTGTTTACTTCAGATTATACAGCTACTGGTGACTCAGTGCAGTTTTGAGGACGATCAAGAGGCAGTGTGGAAGGTAGACTGCCGCAGCCATTTTGAAAATAAAGCCCAAATGAATAAGCTAGCCCTTTAAAAAAAAAAAGACAACATTACTTTATTTGATAATCTTCTTTTAAAATATGTTTTATTGATTCTAAAGAGAAAAGGAAGGGAGAGGGAGAGACAGAGAAACATCAATGTGAGAGAGAAACATTGAGTGGCTGCCTCCTGCACACCCCCCAACTAGGGATCGAGCCTGCAACCTGGGCATGTGCCCTGACCAGGAATCCAACAGGCAGCCTTTCAGTGCATGGGATGATGCCCAACCAACCGAGTCACCTGGCCAGGGCTACTTGGTAATCTTTTCACTTGATACTGTACAGTCTTATTTCTCTATTTACCAATGTCATTTAAGCCTATGTAAAGTGGGGCTCAGCAAACTTTTTTCTGTAAAGAGCCAGGTAGTAAATATTTTAGACTTTGCAGACCATATATAGGCTCTCACAACTACCCATTTCTGCCACTGTAGCACGAAAACAGCTGAGATGCTAAGTAAATGAGTGAGTGTGCTATTTTCCAATAAAACTTTATTTATAAAACATCTGGCTGACTGGCCATAGTTTGCCAACCCTCCTTCTAAAGGATGGTATGTGGAGAGACTGTTCTAAGACATGTCCTCTACCTACATCCAGCTAGATCCCCGCCAGAACAGAGATTGCTTCCTGTAAATCCCCTCAGAGATGGTTTGGTTGACCCCTCCCGTATGTCCCAGGTGTACTGGTTCCTAGAACAAGCGCTTGCCCTGCCCTGGGCAGGCACTAAGGCTATTTCCCCTTATCTGGGGCGGCTCCTGCCACAGTACTCCTATCCATTTTGCTCTGTTCTATATATTTCTTCAGTGCCTGCTGCAGGGCTTGGAGTTTATCCACATTATCTTGCTGAAGCCCAAGATGAACCTCATGTAAGTTCCCTTAATAAACTCTGATGTAATGATGGCACTGTCAACCTCTTTCTTCAGTCTCTCAGTCCCAGGAAATTTCCCAGCATGGCAATGAAAAGAAACTAAGTAAGGAGTCGATATTTTTCAGAACCCTACAGACCTCATTCGATATTGGAACTGCTTTTGTTGAAGGAAGCTGTGTTTTTGACCTGATGTTTCTTGAGGCTCCAGATAGAATTTTCATTCCTACTCCTGAAATAATTAGTATGGTGGGCAAATAAGAGTTCATAACCAATTCTCAAAATTTAAGAAAACAATGATCTGATTTTTATGTTTTTAATGCCCTTTGTAACCTATTAGCTAAAATGGAATTTATGAATTATTTATGAATTTCAGTATCTCTATCTTCCATTGCAACTGATAATTGAGAGCTGTTCATACTTGCACGTGAAAAATACATGGCTACTGTAATTATTTTTTAAAGAACCACTAGAGGCCCGGTGCACGAAATTCATGCACAGGTAGGGTACCTAGGCCTGGCCAGCGATCAGGGCTGATAAGTGGGGTGACTGGGGATGCCCGCGGGCACCCATCTTGACTGGCCTGGTACTGCCCACTCGCTGGCCCCGCCCCCCGCCGCCACTGGTTGCCTCCCTCTGTGGGGCGATTGGGGGGGCCCCCACTGGCACCTGCCTTGGCCGGACTGGTATCGCCCACTCACCAGCCCCGCCCCCTCCCTCTGTGGGGCAACAGGCGTGGTGATTAGGGGGCCCCCGCTGGCACCCGCCTTGGCTTGCCTGGGGCCTGTGGGCTGGGGGCAGCTCCTGCGTTGAGTGTCTGCCCCTGGTGGTCAGTGCACGACATAGCGACCAGTCATTCCTCTGGTCGTTCCACTGTTTGGTCGATTTGCATATTAGGCTTTTATTATATGGGACTAGAGACCTGGTGCACGAATCCATGCAGGGGTGGGGTCCCTTGCCCTGGCCGGCTATCGGGGTGGCTGGCCAGGGGGGAGGGACCGTGAGAGGTTGGCCTGCTGGCCCAGGGGAAGGACCACGGGAGGTTGGCCAGCCGTGGGAGGTTGGCTGTGGGAGTGCACTGACCACCAGGGGGCGGCTCCTGCATTAAGCATCTGACCCCTAGTGGTCAGTGCCGTCATAGCGACCGGTCGACCAGTCGTTAGGTCACTTAGGCTTTTATATATAGAGATACTTCATTTTCACATTTTTTTCTCTTAAGAGGCACTCAGAAGCATATCATAGTTGCCTGCCTATGAGTTAATGTGGTAACAGGAAACAGACTTGGAAGTTAGGATGTGATTTGGGCAGCCCCTGAGCATAAGCCATTTATTTGACCATATTGGTCCTAGATGAGTTATTAGTCTATAGTCGTGCTGGGCATACTGCGGCTCACGAGCCACATGCGGCTCTTTGGCCCCTTGAGTGTGGCTCTTCCACAAAATACCAGCTCTTCCACAAAATACCGACTTCTGCTCATGGGCCACGAAGTTTCAATCGCACTGTACGTGCGCGTCCGCACGTGGTATTTTGTGGATGAGCCACACTCAAGGGGCCAAAGAGCCGCATGTGGTTCGCGAGCTGCGGTTTGCCGAGCCGCAGTTTGCCAACCATTGGTCTATAGTATGTTCAAAACCAAACTTGCTAATTTCAGGGCTTATTGATTGATCCTGAGCAGAAACCTAGCACCGCTCTCTGCCCTAGGGAGGAGAGTGACCTTTTCAGAATTCCTGGGTCACAATTTAGGGATGACCTAATCCTTCTTACAGCTCCCTGGGGACAAAGAGTTTGTATCGTGGCAGCAGGATTTGGAGGACTCCGTAAAGCCCACACAGCAGGCCCGACCCACTGTTATCCGCTGGTCTGAAGGAGGCAAGGAGGTCTTCATCTCCGGGTCCTTCAACAATTGGAGCGCCAAGATTCCAATGATTAAGAGGTGAAGACAAGTGTCTTGATTGAGTCTACAGAGTCCAGGAGTAGAGACCTGGCGGGACTACTCTCCACCTGCTAGGGACTCATGAACATTTTCTGTGACCAGTGACTGTATCTGCGACTTTTTTATTTTAATTTCATAGTGAGTCAGAGGTGTTTTACTACTCGGAGGGACTTATAGTTTTGTGGGCACATTCTTTAGGACCGTATTAATTCAAGTCCTTTCTATGCTTGTAGGAAGTGTTTTATAACTAGCTGAGTCTAGTTGCTCTGATTTCTGCACTAAAACGAAACACACGGTGAAATTCTAATGTTATTTGTTGCCTCCAGGGCAATAATGAATTATTTAACTGGTTATGAGAACGGCCTACCTATCAGTACGTAATTTTCCAGAATTGCTCGCCAAAATATGGAAAGGGTACCCTGAGCCACTTCTGTATCCTGAACCTACCTGCTATCTTATTTACACTTGTGAGGGGTCTGTTCTGCTGAAGCAAAATACTTGTACTAAGGTGAACCATTTGGGGAGATTAACATTTTTTTTTTATTATTCTTTTCCAGACATTAGTTAAGAACTAAAGTTATTGGGAGGGGTTGGCAAATACATGCTGAACATGATATAGGAAAGGAAACTGGGTTTATAAATTACCTCAGAGGCTACAATCACTTAGCAGTGTAGAGGGAAATTGGTATGATATTTTGATTGCCTCGTGGTTTTTACATTTACTTTCCGTCTTCTGATAAGAAGTTGGCCTGCTTAACTTTCTGTTTTCTTCTGTAGCCATAATGACTTTGTGGCCATCCTGGACCTCCCTGAGGGAGAGCATCAGTACAAGTTCTTTGTGGATGGACAGTGGGTTCATGATCCATCAGAGGTAAGGCCTTGACCTCCAAGGGTAAGCACTGACTTAGTCTCCTCCTAGCTGTTACTCCCCTGGGTGTCCAGCTTCACTGCTGTCAGGTTGCTGGGCAGCAGCTCTCCTGCACTGGAGGATTTATCTCCTGATAAAAGATGGAGGTGGCGAGTATGACCATTTTTAAAAAGAGGAGAGTTGAATGGAAGAGATGGATTTGAAACAGGGACTCATACATTTTTCCCATTCACTGTTTCAGCCTGTGGTTACCAGTCAGCTTGGCACGATTAACAATTTGATCCATGTCAAAAAGTCTGATTTTGAGGTGTTTGATGCTTTAAAACTAGATTCAATGGAAAGCTCGGAGACATCTTGTCGAGGTAATTTTGTCGTATTTGCTCTTTCTTGATGTTTTTCTTATAATGCATGTTTCTTCCCAAAAGTGGTTTTTATTTTTATTATTTTATTTTATTTTTGTAAAGAATTTTTGTTGCGTTTATTTGAGATTATTTGTGTGTTTTATTTTCATTTTCTCTTCAGGAATCTTCTGATTTATATACAGGGTGAGGCAAAGGTAGGTTTATAGTTGTGGGTATGCAAAACAGTTTATGCTTGTATTATTATTTATCATTTTTATTATTTTCCATACAACCAACTGTAAACCTACTTTTTGCCCCACCCTGTGTAATTCTGTAAGCATTTTGGTCCCATGCTCTGAGACAAAAAATCTCAGTTTAGAGTATTTGATTTCAAACTTTAACCAGGATCTGCAGTAAAACTTTTGTTTTACATTATAACCCAACACACACACACACACACCTATAACACAAGTCTTGCAGAACAGTGTTGCCTTTATTACATATAATGCACTCTATTTTCTATTTTATCCTTTCCTTTTTGGCAAATAATGGGCTATGGCCTATAGTTGAAAAATCTATTTCTAACAATATTTCAAGCTTTTCATTGACCTTTGGTGGTATCCCCACCCCTCGCCCCCCACTGCTTGGGGGCTAGATGTTGTCTGGTTTGCCTCCAGTGTTATCAAGGACCCTACAGGAACGGCAGTCTTTGGGGAAAGAGGGGTTTCAAAACCCCACAATTCTTGTGTGTGTATGTTAACTGAAGTTTTGTAAGTGTTTCTTTCTTTCTTTCTTTTTTAATGCCTTGGAAGAGTAAAAGGCCTGTATCCTTTTGTTTCTCCCAATATCATTTTTTCCAAGGAAGGCCTTCATCTCTATGTGCATTTGCTGCAGCACCAGATGGGTGATTTGCTAACCACACTCACAGTTACCATTTTGTTACTTTACAGTAAAGGCTATGACTGTCAGCAGAACTGTGTGCACTGTGTTTCCAGTGAGCATACTTCTCCCTTGTGGGCGCAAAGCCTGCCTCTGCTACTGACTAGCTTTGCCATCATGGACAAGTCCTTCAACCTTTTTGGTTCTCAGTTCCTTATGAATAAAATTGGAGGCTTAGATTCTCAATGACTCAATTGAGGAGACAGAGTACCTGAAATGGGGCATATTAGAATCTCAGGGCACAAAGTGTGGCAGTGAATAAAAAGGGTTTAAAAATACTGAATTAAATCATAAGGCCACTTGTAACTAAATTTTTGTATTTCATTATTCTGACAAAGCAGCCAATAAATACTAGACATATAGTCATAATTATATAGAGAGAGGAGTAGCATACTTTTGATATTTCTTTCTTCCCTCTTTTACCCAATTTCCTGATCCACTAAGGTAAAGTTTAAAATACATTTTATTAGGAATCTGCACTCAGTGAACATCTTGCTAAGATGAACATCTTTGGGCAAATCACTTAACCAATTTGTTTGTTAAAATTTTGAATGAAAGGGAAATAAAAACTTTCTAAGTACTTCCATGGGGTGTTTTGTGGACCACATGACAAAATAACAGAGTATTTTGAAAAATTTCAAGTTCTACATAGTTTTAAGATGTTTCTTAATATAACAATATTATTGCTACTCTTTTGCCTCTCATATATTCAACTGAAATATGAGTTCTTATACTGGTTATTTTTTCACTAGAAACTATAAACATATTAAAATTTGTTAAGCAAACACTTATAGTTCTCTTTATTTTTATATATTTTCTTCTATTCTGGTTTATACTTTTTTTGTGGTTGTTAATCCTCACCCGAGGATATTTTTCCATTGATTTTTAGAGAGAGTGGAAGGGAGAGGGAGATCAGAGAGAGAAACATTGATGTGAGAGAGACACATTGAGTGGCCGCCTACCACACACACCCCGACTGGCACCGAAGCCCGCAACCGAAGTATGCGCCCTTGACCAAAATCCACCTGGGACCCTTCAGTCCCCAGGCGGATACTCTATCCACTGTGCCAAACCGGCCAGGACCATTATTCATTTTTTTTCACATTCATAAAACTTACCCTTTAAAGTGTACAATTCAGTAATTTTTGTATATTCACAGAGTTGTGTAACCATCACCACTGTCTAATTGTAGAGTATTTTATCACCCCAGAAAGAAATCCCATAACTATCAGCAGTCCCTAGCAACCACAAATCCACTTTGTGTCTATGGATTTGCCTGTTTGGGACATTTCATGTAAATGGGATTATACAGTATGTGGTCTTTTGTGTTTGGCTTCTTTCACTTAATATGGTCATTCATGTTGTAATATGTATCAGTATTTTATTCCTTTTATAGCCGAATAAAATTCTACTGTATGAATATACTATTTTGTTTATCCATTCACTAGCTGATGGACATTTGGATTTGTTACTGCTTTTAGTCCATTATAAATAATGCTGTTTTGAACATTTGTGTTCAAGTTTTTGTGTAGACATATGTTTTCATTTCTCTTGGGTATATACCCAGGAATATAATTTCTGGGTCATATGGTAACTTTATGTTTAACTTTTGAAGAAACTGCCAAACTGTTCAAAGCAGCTGCACCACTTTACATACCCTCCAGCAATGGGAATAGTACAAAGGTTCCAATTTCTCCACATACTTGCCAACAATTATTGTTCTTGTCAGTCTTTTTTGTCATAGTCATCTAAATGCATGTTAAGTGGTATTTTATTGTGGTTTTTATTTGCATTTCCCTAATGACTACTATATTATTAGTAATTTTGTCCTCATTGTTGCAATCATGGTAGTATAAGTAATCTTAGAGTGTATAACCTTGTCTGTTTTTTGGGTGGAAAAAAAAGAAGAAATCTAATCTTTTTATACTGTTTTACAGTTACAAGGCATTGTCACATTTGTTTTCTTATTTGAGTCCTTTAAAAACATTGTGAAATAGGGTAGAGATTCTTTTTATTTTATGAATGAGGAAACTGACCATATTGTATGAATGAGGAAACTGATAAATGGAGTACTTCTTCCCAAAACCTACCTCTTCTACCCCTCATCTCCTCCTTTATCCTCCAGATCATGTTGCCAGGTTGAGGAACTCCCTAGTTTATGTTCAGGATAACTCAGACTTTTTCTTGTCTGCCTTACAGTTGTAGACCCAACATGTCACAAGTTTATGATTCATGACTTCTATGTATTTATTATTAGATGCCATGATGATTTTTTTTTCATGCATTTTTACTAGTTCTCTTAACTTTCCCTTATATTTGGATAAATGTCTTCCAGACCTTTCCAGCTCACCCCCAGGCCCTTATAGTCAAGAAATGTATGTGTTTCGATCTGAGGAGAGATTCAAATCCCCGCCCATCTTGCCTCCTCACCTTCTCCAAGTTATTCTTAACAAGGACACTAATATTTCTGTGAGTATCCTGAGAGTACTGCTGGGGCATCTTGAGGTAGGTCACTGGGACCATTTGAGGTGAAGTTTACTAATCCTAGAGGTTGGGATTATTACAAAGATGTGTGAAGAGAAAACATCACATACATGGAAAAAAAGAAGAAATCTAATCTTTTCATATTATCATACATATAGTTATATATAGATATCATATATAGATACATATATCATTAGTTTCTTTTTTCTAGGGCTGAGTTGTGACTTTTCCAGGTACTGATATCAGAATTCATAGTTGTCTCTGCTTCAAGTAATTCAGGCCCAGAGCTATGGATTACTAGAACCAGTTTCGGGAACTTATATCATTTGTTTGGGGCACATTTATCATTTGAGGATATAGAAAAGAAGTGTAAAGTGGTCTTTTTTGTGTGTGGTTTTCATATAATTTACATCTCTAGTCAATTCACATGATTCCCATTAAGATTACTGTTGCCTCTTAAGCCTGTATCTTCTATGTGTGTTGTGGGCAACGTTTTTGTCTTAGCTCTATTAAGGAAGATGAATTGATGCTGAGGCTTAGCATTTCTGTCCTGGACTCAGAATTTTCCTGATTTCCTGTAATGAGACTGTATTATTGATATATACAAGGATGAGTGCAGTATGTAAAAGGAACAATATATACTAGTTTAGAGTTTCTCAACAATCCCAAAGGGCTTGGAGGAAGAATAAACTGCCTGGTTTAAGACTGTGCATTTAACCCCACTTAGTGATTTTTTTTTTCTCTTAGTGTGATCCAGCCTTGCTCCCTGAACCAAATCATGTTATGCTGAACCATCTCTATGCATTGTCCATAAAGGTAAGTGGTGGGGCTGGCTCTTCACAGGGCTCCCCACAATGGATTTCACTTTTATATCCCACACATAAGGGTAACATATGTTTTCCAGTGGTTACTTGCTCTGCTACTTCACTGAAGCTGAGGCCAGCAGTAATGGTCAAATTATAAGAAACTTATTTTTTTTCCCCAAAAAATAAGTTTTTATTGATTTTTTAGAGAGAGAGGAAGGGAGAGGGACAGAGAGATAGAAATATCAGTGAGAGAGAAACGTCACCCATTGGCTGCCTCCCGCATGCCCCATACTGGGGATTGAGCCTGCAACCCAGACATGTGTCCTGATCAGGAATGGAGCAGGTGACCTCTTGGTTCCTGGGTCAACACTGGCCAGGCATATAAAGAAATAACTTATTTACTTATTTTTTTTAGGCCACCAAAAATTTTGGTTGCCTCCCTCCAAAAAAAATTGGGAGAGAGAGAGAGAGAGAGAGAGAGAGAAGAACTTTTTAAAACTAGTGGGTGGGTTTTTTTGTGTTTGTTTTTTTTTAATCTTAGTTTCAAAAAACTCTGCACAGCAAGAGAAACCACCAAAACTAAAAGGCAATCAATGGAGTAGATGATTTTTGCAAACAACAGCTCCAATAAGGGGTTAATATCCAAAATACTTAAAGAACTCATGCAACTCAACACCAAACAAACAAATAATCCAATTAACAATGGGCAGAGGACCTGGACAGACACTTGAAAGAAAACATTCAAATGGCCAACAGATATATGAAAAGATGTTCAACTTCACTAGCTATTAGGGAAATGCAAATCAAAACTACAATGAGATACCACCTCATACCTGTTAGAATGGCTATTATCAACAAGACAAATATTGGAGAGGTTGTGGGGAAAAAAGGAACCCTCATTCACTGCTGGTGGGAATGTAAACTGGTACAGCCACTATAGAAAACAGAATGGTGGCTCCTCAAAAAATTAAGAATAGAGTTACCATATGACCCAGCAATCCTTCTTCTGAGTCTCTACCTGCAAAATTTGAAAACATTCATTTGCAAAGATCTATATATACACCTATGTTCATTGCAGCATTATACATAGAGGCCAAGACATGGAAACAACCAAAGTGTTCTTTGATGGATTATTGGATAAAGGATGTGAGATACACACACACACACGCGCGCACACACACACACACACACGCACACACGCACTGGAATACTACTGAGCCATAAGAAAAGGTGAAATATTGCCATTTGTGATAACATGGATGGACTTTGAGAATATTTTGCTAAGCAAAATAAATCAGTCAGAAAAAGCTAAGAACCATATAATTCTTATGTGTGGGATATAAAACTGAAACTCATAGATACAGACATATGTGTTCTTAGCTTACCCTGTGGGTAGCTATAACCACCCTATTACCTACTTAACTAAGTTTGAGTACATAGCACTAAAATTCCACTTGCACAAAAAGCAAGTTTAGCTTCGATTCAAAGAATACCTAAATGTGATATCAAAGCCCTCACTTTTTAAAGGTGGACACAGCTGCTTTCAGGTGCCTCATTCATAGATACCCAAGTCGTTGCATCTCCTATATTGGGAGAAATGTGACCAGATTTGCAGTGTCCCCTCCAATTCTTACAGTCCTTCTTGATTTCTCTGCTGCTTTAGAGTCTAGGTTGGAAATAGTCATTCAGTCTAGTCATGTCTTTGTGGTTTGGCTATTGGAATAAAGTTTTGCTCTAGAGTTACCAGATGATCATCACCTGGGGAGTTTGTAAAAATACAGATTCAGAGGCTACATCCCAGGGATTTTGAATAAATGCATCTAGGATGGGCCCTAATCATCTTTTTAAGCTGCTTATATTTCTTAGATGTGCATCAGATAAGGGAAATCACTGATACAGCTTCTTTAACAGATGACTTCTTTAGCGGGTACTTTAAAAATATAACGGAATTTATTTTTTATAATAACCTTGTGTGGTAAGTATTATTTTTAACCCCTGTTTTATAGATAAAGAAACTAAGGCTCAGAGAAGGTCATATTGCCAGTAAGTACCAGAGAAAGGACTGAAGTCCAGTCCTCCTATCCTCATTCCATATTCTTTCCTAGATATTACTGTGCCAGGTCTTTCCCAGTAGGTCTTTCTCTTACCTGCCCCTCATTTCTACCAAACCCTTCTTGGAGTTGAACTTTTTACCTGCCTTGCTTATGTCATATTTAGGTTGGGATCAGCATTCTCTGGTCACAAAATGTTAATCTGGGAAGCATCGATTGCGGACAAACAGTATAGGGGAAAATAGGAAGATGCGCTGGGTTCTCAATTGGATCTGCTTGGGTTCTTTGGGATCTGACTGAACTTTTGCCTCCTGTTACTGCTCCTTAACTATCAATGGATGTCCACAGGCCTGCGCTCTTCTCTTGTGGTTCACAGCCTGGGAAATTGTACCTTTAGCTTTTCACACTGGTCTTGAGTATTGTGATTCACCTTGGCCTTGACCCAGATTGTTTAGGCTGTTTGGAATTAATCAATTGGATTGAGTGTCTTTCCTAGGAGGATTTTGGGGTCTACTTTACTCAAGGATAGAAGGGGATTCCTGAGTCCCCTCTTGATCAAAGAAGACTTTTTAAATGGAAATTAGACCTGCTTCAGGGCTTGAAAATGGTTTTCTAAAAAGATCACTGCCCTTTCTTCTCATGGCATTTAAGATTCCTTCCATAAATGGATTGCCAGGGTGTTTCTTTCTTTTTTTCTTTGCTAGATTTAAACCCAATATTCAAATTTAAAATGGGGAAGGAGTGAAATAGGAGACTAATCTTTCTTCAACACCAGCCCCTATTATGTGTCAGGTACTATGCCAGATATTCTGATGTAAACCTCAGAGCCACCTTAATGGTAGGTATTATCCTTTTAATGATGGGAAAAAAGACTTACAGACATGAAGTAGATTATTCAAGGTCACAGAGTAACAGTAGGATTCAGGATCAGATTTAAGTTGATTTGACTCTAAAACCAAACTCCTTTTATAATATCAAACTATGTCTCTTAAAAGTGAGCAACTGTGTACCGCTTGAACTGATGAAATAGCTGCGTCTGTTTCTTTTCCTTGCAGGACAGTGTGATGGTCCTTAGTGCAACCCATCGCTACAAGAAGAAGTATGTCACTACTCTGCTGTACAAGCCCATCTGAAGGGATCCCTCTCGGCCTCCCAGGCTTCAGAAGCAGTTTCCTTGCCTTTCTGGACTAGACTAGTCTTACCCGAGACTGGAAGGCTGATTTGCTTTGAGGCTGATATGTGTGTTTCAGAGCCTCTGAGTAGGATGCTCTGCTTTTGCATTTGATTGAAGATGAGGGGTTTATGAATTCATGGCGTTCATTTTAAGAAAAAAATACATACATGTATACATATGAGAGGAAGGTTAGTGGACGCCTCCTAGCTAGATGTATTCTCTCTGCCTCTAGGGATGCACCAAGAGCTGTTTGGGGATGCTGCAGGAAGAGCCTTCATTATAGGAAGCTTTTTTTACTAAAATGAAGAGCAAACTCAGTATCCTTGATGGGTGGAGAGTCTATCACTGCTACCTTGGCTCTCCAAGGGATGGACTTGTGCCCTACTCGGGCCCTACTTACAGCTGCCCCTCCTTTCAGGGGCGGCTTTTCTTGCATGGGTTTTCTGTATTCCCAGAGTATATGGCACAATCTGTGTTGCTGGTTGGTTGGTTGGTTTTGTGGTGGTCTTTTTTTTTATCCTCACCTGAGGATACACTCTGGGTTTTTTATATAATACCAGATGCCCCACAAAAATCCTTTTTTCCTCTCATTTTACATTCTTGCAGATCCTATACATGACCCTCCCCTAACACAAAAACTCATTGGGTAAATGACTCCTTTCAAAGTCTGTGTGATATCTGACCCTCCTCAGAGACTAGGGCTGCCAGAAAGTCCTTTTTAGCCCAGCACAGGCCTAAGCCACTTTGTTACCACTTGCTCTAACTTCTACTAAGGAAAATGGCTCAGCATTATAAGAAAGGCAGGAAGCCCTGGCCAGTGTTCTCAGTGGTTAGAGCATTGTCCTACACACCAAAGGGTTGTGGGTTTTATTTCTGGTCAAGGGCACATACCTGGGTTGCACGCTCAATCCCTGGCCCCGGTTGAGGTGCATGTGGAAGGCAACCCATCGATGTGTCTCTCTCATATCGACTTTTCTCTTCCCTTCCCTTCCACTCTATAAAAATCAATGGAAAAAAAATATCATTGGGTGAGGATTAACAAAAAAATAAAGGCAGGAATGCAGAAGGTCTACTTTCTTGTTTTAGTTTGATGCCACAGCTTGGGCCGTATTGGCACATCCCTATAGGTTTTCCTACCTGGGCTGGTCCTGCTCCATGTTCTCTTTCTCAGAGCAGACAACCTTGAAGGTGGGAGTGAGCCAGGGAAAACTTTCATGTCTTTCATCCTTGAAAGATTTTTATGTGCCTACATTTTTCTTTAATTAAAAATGCCTTTTCATTGATCTTATGAGACTTCATAGGAGAATTCTTGATAAATGGTTCCCAACATTTTCTTCCCTAGTCTAGTTCTTAATCTTACAGTAAGTAATGTAGCTAACCCTGTGCACATCATTACACTAAATACTGCTCTAGGTACAGATTTATTCAGGCTCATTTGATGCACCTAAAAGGTAACCTCAACTTAAGATTTATTAGGCCAGAAAGCAAGAAAGTACCCTTGGTGTTCTCAACCATCATTTTGTTCTGCCTCTTTTCAAAAAACGTATTTGATAATGTGGTGGGGTCAGTGATTTCCATTTGTGGAATGAAAAGTAGCATTCAATCTATTCTTGAGGTTCAAAGATAAAGCATATTTTCCAGGTATCTGTGGCTCTTCCATTACAGGTAAATGCACGTCAAACATTCAACACCGAAGGAGTCCAAACTTGATGCTTGAGAGATTCCTTGACTGCTCAGATGAGCCCAGCCACACTGAGGGCACCCACAGGTCAGTTTAGTTACCTCCTGCTTTCCCATACAAAGCTGAAGGCAGTTATCTTTGGGTATGTAGACCTCTTAGATCCCCGTATGAGGCAGTAGGGTATGGTGGTGGTGTTTTGCTGGGAATGCAAATTGCTAAGTACTTTGGTGGTTAATTGCTGAGAATAAATACTGCTTTAGCCACTTAAGGCCACCTTCTGCAGCAAAAGGCTTTTGTGGAGAACTTTTATACTCCCAACCACTTTTTGAATAGTGTGCCATTTAAAAAAATCCAGGCCAAATCCTATTTTAACCAACTCTTAGGATCTATGTCATCTTCAGTTAATCTAGAATTTTGTTTTTTTCTAATACCCATTAAATAAGTGGGCCACTTAGGGGGATTCAAAATCTTGGTGGTTAATAAAGGATTTTGTTGCACTCATATTTCTGGTCAACAGTATTGAAATGTAATTGCCTATATGTTCATGTATGAAGATTTTTGTTCAGGTATGTCAGTCGAGGGGGCAGGAAAAGAGATCCCTTCCATTTCTTTCCAGCCAAAGGCTTTGTTGAATTGGGTCTGGCTTTAGTGACAGTAGGTTTTGGTGCTGATGACCTTCACATCTTTCTAATCAGGAAAGATGCCGAGGGCGTCAGTTTCCCAAATTCTGAGGTAATCTCTCAGCCAGATGTGACATGGGAGCCTAACAGCTGGTATGGAAGGTGTGGGTGAGAGGAACTGGATGATGGCTCCTTCAGTATTGTTCCTTTTTATACTGCTAATACATCCCATGGCCCTGAGAAGCCGTGTCACGCTCTGTCCCCAAGAAACTGTTTTAGAAGGTAGATAGGGAGGGAGGAAGGTAGCCCCAAGTATAGCCACTCATTCTTTTGTATTGTTTAAAGGAATAGTTTACTTTCTGCAGAATGGAGTTTAGCAGATTTGAGAAATGAATAAAAGCAAGAAAAAATATTTTTAGCTCTTTTGGGAGGGACTATAGCAGTTTCACAAGAGTTAGAAGAAAAAGAAAATAGCTCTCAGGAGGATTAACCCTTAAAGAACTACATCATGGTTTTGGGATTATGGGGGGAAAAAGAATGACTGAGTTGAGGAGTAATACTAGAAAAATAAAGACTTGAATAACAGAACTATCCTTTTAAAAAAAATTAAATCAGACACAACATATTGGTGTCCTTGGATTTCACTGTATAGAATTTACTATAAAAAACATCATTCCTTCACCTCTTGTTCCTGTTCTCTATCCTTTTTTCTATATTCTGATGCAACTTCATTTGTCAGGTAGACTTTATCAGGGTCTCAAGTCAAACATTACCTAAAATAAATGTTAGGCATCTTGCTGGTATGGAGAATGTTCAAGTCATGCTTAGAGTTGAATGGGATTCAACCACTATAAGCAACACCCGTGAAGGGCACACTTGGCCTTAATAGTTTGGCTTTTTTAAACAATGCTTACATGGTTAAAAAAAATCCTATAAAAGAAGAATCTAAGAGAAGTTCCTGAGAGAATCCTGCAAACCCTGGCCCACTTACTCCCCTCCAATTATTTCTAGTCTCTTGTAGACCTACTGAATCTGAGATAAAACCTTTGAAAAGTATTCGTACTCCATGTTTGCTTGTAAAATGAAGTTAAATTTTGAAAGAAGTGTTACCTCCAGACTGGGCTTATATTAATGTGGGCTATAAATGAAGGTGACATACTAATGATAGAATTTCCTGCTTTTAACTGGGGAAACAGGGCTTTTAAAATTTTGACCTCAACTAAAAATGATATGCAATAGTCTCTGTTTGTGTGTGTTTGAAATACATTCTGTTCTCAAAGGTTTCTAAATCCTCATGTTCTAGTGATTTGGGGCATGGGCTTACTCGCAGATACAGTTTGTTCCTACATTGTTCTGACTCATCCTTAAAGCCAAGTTCTTGCTGTCTTCTACCAGGGACTGCTGATTCCAGTTACCAATGGGATGGTGGACCTGGGAGGGGACGGGGTTAAGGTCTGTCTTTTAAAAGTCTGGACCTAGGCATTTGTCTGTTCTTAAGCGCCATTCTCAATTGGAGCTTGAAGGGCTGTGATTTCTGCAATGAACCCAAACTTTTGGAGTAAAAGAATTTATCTATTTTTAAATTTAAATTATAAGCAAAAAGAAAGAAGAAAAGAAAAAACTCAAATCTGCTACTTATGAACTCCAATTCTTAGTAATGGAATCTCTCTAGGATTCATATTTGGGCTTTGTCTTGATTTGCTTTTCTCAATTGAGCTTTGAAGTGAGTAAGTTTTGTTAAAAATTGAAATTTGTATTGGTTTTAACATTAATTGGAAATGGATTGTGTGTAGTACAGTACTTTTGCAGTAAGATTGGTATGAAATATACTAAACACTGGATTTTGTAGTCAGGTTAAATGGTCAAGGGATACCTACCATCGTATTATGTATTGATCATCTTACTTTTCTGTTTCCGTCTACAGAGCACTAACCTTAACCAGGTTCAGGTTTTAGAACAGCCAAGCTCACTGATGTTATTAATTCTAATTCCACACTGAGCCCCCTATGTAAGACTTGTTTGAATATTGGTAAATTGGAGGGTGTTGGTTATTGTTATACTGAAGCATTTTGGATTAGTGAAGTTCTGTCATAAAGGGGAAATAATACTATAATTTGAAAAGAATTAAATATGTGAGTCCCTTAAATGGTGCTTTTTGTAACCTTTAGTGCTGAGGTGCAGAGCTGCTTTTCAATATTTCATAGAGGAGTAACACACAAGAATGGGTTTGAAAACTTTTCTCCAAATGGATTTTGTCACTGAGCTCTGATGTGTCTGAAAATTGTGATGTTGCACATGCAGAAATTGTTTTTCTCCATAAAACTGTTGAATAAAAGTATTATGCAGCAATATTGAATTCTTCATTGATTACTGATTATATTATCAAGATCTGTCTGCTGCCCTGGACGATGTGGTTCAGTCGCTTGGGCATCACCCGAACCGGTACTGAAAGATTGCTGGTTCTATTCCCAGTCAGGGCACATGCCTGAGTTGTGGGCTCGATCCCTGATAGGGGTGTGCAGAAAATAGTTGATTGCTGTTTCTCATATCAGTGTTTCTCCCTCTCCCTCTCTCTAAAATTCAATTTTTAAAAATCTTAAGCCTGGCCCATGTGGCTCAGTAGTTGAGTGTCGACCCATGAACTAGGAGGTCAGGTTTTGATTCCTGGTCAGGGCACACGCTGGGGGTTTTGGGCTCGATCCCCAGTAGTAGATGTGCAAGAGGCAGCCAATTGATGATTTTCTCTCATCATTGATGTTCCTATCTCCATCTCCCTTCCTCTCTGAAATCAATAAAAAGTGTATTTTAAAAATACATTTTAAAAAAGAGATCTATCTGCCTTGGTAGTCTCAGGACCTAAAAAATGTAAATTGCCACACAGGCACATTTAAATGAGAGAATTTATAGGGTAGAACACAAGTGATGTCATCTTTACATCTGCCACTTTTTCTTTTCTTTTTGTTCTAGGGCAGGGGTGGGCAAACTTTTTGACTCGAGGGCCACAATGGGTTCTTAAACTGGACCGGAGGGCCGGAACAAAAGCATGGATGGAGTGTTTGTGTGAACTAATATAAATTCAAAGTAAACATCATTACATAAAAGGGTACGGTCTTTTTTTTTTTTTTTAGTTTTATTCATTTCAAACGGGCCGGATCCGGCCCCGCGGGCCGTAGTTTGCCCACGGCTGTTCTAGGGTATGCCAACATTAGCTAGAGAAGTGCAAACCCTATGATTTAATTTTCAGCACTTTCTGTAAACTGTACACTTAGCCATCGTGGGGTGGATTAGCTCAAGTCCTAGACTAATTTTTTCACCCTTGGTACACATGCATATAAACTATGCAGATTCCATAAAAATATTGATGCCCAGTCTACTACCTTTACCTCAATTAAATGAAAATCTCTGGATGGGGTTCAGGCATCTATATTTAAAATCCCCAGATTATTCTAATATACATCCGGGGATAAGAACCACTATCCTTTCTCTGCCAGACATATACTTCATTATACATGAAAACAGATGATATACTTCATTCTGACAGCAAATCACTCCTCAGATGGCTTTGTTCAGGGCCATAATTATACCAGGGTAATTTTTGTTTTCTTTTTCTTTTGTCTTATTTTTTTAAAATATATTTTTATTGATTCAGAGAGGAAGGGTGAGGGAGAGACAGAAACATCAATGATGATGAATCATTGACCGACTGCCTCCTACACGGCCCCTACTGGGGATTGAGCCTGGGACCCTTTAGTCCACAGTCTGATGCTCTATCCACTGAGCCAAACCAGCTAGGGCTAATTTTTATTTTCTCTCTCTTTGTTTCACTATGTTTTTCATATCTGGCCTCTGGACTTTTCCAAAAGCAACACAGCCAGTCTCCTTTATATTTGCTGCTCTAAAGATATAACTGAATTAAATTTTGTTAAGGGGGAGAGGAGAAGGACACTGTGGGAGTAACTAGAGGGTGAGAATAGGGTGAGTTGAAAGAAGTGGAGACATATAGTAGGACAGGTAATGACCTGTGACGGAAACAGTTAACCTCAAACCTTTAACAGCAGATCAAGTTATGCCTGCAGGCTTTAGGTAGAGAGTGGTAGATGTCATGTGACTCAGCCTGTGGCAGAATGGTCTACACTTCATGTACCCTGGTCACCGAAACAACAAATGGCACCAGAATTCTTTTTGGTGTTCCAGTGGTCTCTAATTTGACCAGGCAACCTCTTCAAACTGGCTTCTGTGATCTTCTGACATGTCCTAACTAATCTTTAGGCACAATAAGATATTCTAGGCTCACCTTGTATTTTTAGTCCCCCAATCCCAAAGCAGGCATTTCTACAATGAATCATAATTTTTTTTTTCATGGGAAATGGCACTCAGAAACCAAGCACTAAATATGCTGTTTTTAAATTTTTTTAAATATTGATTTCAGAGAGAGATAGAAACATCAATGATGAGAGAGAATCATTGATTGGCTACCTCCTGCACGCCCCATACTAGGGATCAAGCCCGCATCTGGGGCATATGCCCTGACTGGGAATCAAACCCTAATCTCCTGTTTCAGAGGTCGACGCTCAACCACTGTGCCATACCGGGCTCACTGTTTTTAGACCCTATCAGTGGGTATCATGAGGTGATACGGATAGCTCCAATTCCAGTCCAACACCATAGGGTTCTTCCTCAACTTTTCCCTTTTTCCAAGATGATAACCTTGATTCCTGACAATATCAACCCTTTTTACTAATTTGCTCTACCCTACAAAACACAAAACAGCTTCACAATTATGCTAATTCCACTACCAACAATAAACCTACTGCCCTAGCCGGTTTGGCTCAGTGGATAGAGCATCGACCTGCAGACTGAAGGGTCCTGGGTTCAATTCTAGTCAAGGGTACATGCGTGGATTGCAGGCTCAATCCCTGGTGGGGGTCAGGTAGGAGGCAGCTGATCAGTGATTCTCTCTCATCATTGATGTTTCTCTCTCTCCCTCTCCCTTCCTCTCTGAAATCAAAAAACAAAAAACAAACTAACAAAAAAAACCCCAATCAACCTACTAAGTAAATCTCAAGATGTCTTTAAGATGGACTCCACTATGGGTATACAGACAAAAACTACCTTCAAAATTTACTTAATTATATTCTATGTGATTTTATTATCATTTCATATATAATTAAATTCATTTGTTCGGCTTTTGTTTTTCAGTTTTAAGAGCTTTTTCAATCTCTTGGAAAATGTAAAACATTAACATTGTTTAAAAATAAAAACTGTAGTAAAAAAGCTGTAGTAAAAAATAAAACTAGAAAAAAGCCCCTCCCATCTCTATATCTTAGACTCCATTCCCATGCATCCTTAGATAAAAAAAATTGTTTTCATTATTTTCTGACCTATTCTTCCTGTAAAACAAGCATATCTATTGCTCCCTTTCCTTGTACAGAAGATAGCATACTGTGTACACACTCTTTTGTACTTGCAGTTTGCACATAAAAAACATTCTGAACCATATCCGTTCATAGAGGTATTTCTCATATTTATGGTTGCAAAGCACTGCACTGTGTGTATGTATTAACTGGCCATTCTTAAGTGTGGGAAGTGGGATCCAATCATTAGGAAGCCATTAACTCTTGTGATCAAACCCTCATTTCACAAGCACAGACACGCCTTAGGAGTGGGGAAGGTGATTTTAAGAACCAGTGAGAGAGTAAGAGGGTGGGGATAAATCCCTAAAGAACCCACCTGTGGGAGAATGCTACTCAGCCCAATGCCTGAACCTCCTTCCTCTGCTCGTTGGCCCCAGTGTATAGGGGGAAATTCAATTCCTCTCCCCCACATTAAATTCCCTAAGAGCAGCCACTGTTAACAGGATATAAACCAGAGGAGAGGCTTATTTAAAATCCGCCACTGAATCTGACCAGTACTAGTATACTTACGTCTAAGGGACAAAACCTGTTCTCCTCTCTCCTTTCCCACCCAATGAGTCTAAGACCCCTCTCTAGGGTCCAGACGCTTAGATGTTGGGTTGTGCACAGACGGAGGCAAGAGAGCTTCCGCACTTCTGGAAGTGTAAAACTAGAGGGCTGGTTGCGCAGGTAGAGGCTTCTATGGCTCATTAGCCTTTCTCCTGCCCGGCAATGATCCTCGGGCTCGAATCTGTGGGACTATCCACGTTCTGAATCCTAAAACACTAGACAATTGCTTTTGCAAACCCCGCTTGTAGCCAGGAGAGAGGAACAACTTTTTTTCTTCGGGCTTTAGTCAGTAGCTCGTTGGACATTTAATTTCAAGGACCCCGAGGATCACCCAGCGCGCTGCGCGGATCACTGTGTGCCGCACTGACTTGGCCACGAGGGGCGCTGCCTCTTCTCAGTGGTTGCCGTAAAGGAGCGCCTTGCAGGCGGTTCGGTTTCCCCGGGATGACACCCCTCCGCGGTGAGCGGCGCGGAAGCCGATGTTCTTTTTACTCTGGGGTCACTCGGGATTCGGGGAGGTCCTGGGCCGGCGAGAGGCCCACACTGCCCAGGCCTCGAGCACTGGCTGTAGATGCTCTGCCTTCTGTCTCTCCCGTAAAGATCCCCTAAGATCATTGGAGGGGTCGCGCAGTCC